AGCACATAATTTTTTAAAGCGCTCCCAATATTCATACAAGGTCTCATTTTCTGCTTGCTCAATGTTGCTGATTTGCTTCTTGAGACTTGAAGAGATAGAAGCGGGATAGTACCTGTCAAGGAAGCTCTTTTTCATTTGAGCCCATGTGTTGATGCTCCCCGAGGGAAGATAAAATAACCAATCTTTGGCGGTGTCTTTGAGAGAGAATGGGAAGGCTCTCAACTTGATTTGCTCCTCGGATACGCCATTGGGGCACATGCTTGTGCACACAATATGGAACTCCGACAAGTGTTTATTTGGATCTTCCCCTCGTAAGCCATGGAAAGAGGGAAGTAGATGAATGAGCCCAGATTTTAGCTCGAATGTGACCCCCGTATCAAGAGTTGGAAAAGTGATACATAAGGGTTGTTGATTTAGATTCGGAGCCGTTAGCTCCCTTAACGTTCCTGTTTCAAGAGCCAGGTGAAAGGACTCTTCGGATTCGCTAGAATGAGAACTAGCACTTGATGATTCCTCCGAAGAAGTATTCGGAAATAGATTCCTGAACCTCTCGAAGGCTTGTTCTGTTTCGGGCTTTGTTTGGTAGGTGCTTTGGTTTATAGATCGGTGTTTAACCATATACTCAAACAAAGCTCAGCCAAAATAGTAATCTTTATATATAATTTTTTTTTGATTTTTCTTTGAAATAAAATAGAAAGAAAAATAATTGCCTTTCCCCGGCAACGGCGCCAAATTTGACGAGCACTTTGTCACGGTGTGTCAAAATAAATTCAATACTAAACACTTATACGTAGTATAGTGTAGTAGAGTTCGTATCCACAGGGAAAGGTATAATTCTCTTTCTATGAACTTAATGAATAAAAAGGGGGGTTTTGGTTTGAGAGATTTAATTTAATTAAGAACTAAGATGAACAACCTATATGTGTTTAATTCAAAGATAAAAAGGACTTGGCATTGCTACTTTCCACTTGTTGATATATTTTAGTCGATCATTGTTATATCTATAACTTATTCCCTCTCGAATACTCAATCGGGGAGTATATCCACTTCATCGAGGGTAGTTATTAACAACAACCGTTCATTAATAACCCTTACTATTAATCAAATATAGAACAACGCCTTATACCGATTTAATAGTAGCATTTAATCTTTCTAACTCCTTGATGAAATCAATTGAGATTGGTAACCTCAACACAACGGTTTCGATTTAACCAACAAAATTAATCCCTCTTAAGTTTATTAACCACGACCGTGCATTAATAAATCGAAGTTACTTACTAGTGAAACTATCAACGATTAACCATCGGTTCGTTGATCGTTTCTAGTAATAATTAAAATATGAAACAAAACTAGTTGATCCTTTAAGTAATGTTCAAAATATTAATATGAAATATGAGTAGGGATTAATTAATATTCAAGGAAGAATATTATTAAAGAAGATGAATCCTACTATAATTAAGATCAAGATGTTAACTAATTGTCATCTTAGCAACACTCCCCAATATTAATATAGAGGAAGAAAATATCATTCTAACTAATGTCGAGATGTTAACTAATTGTCATCTTAGCAACACTCCCCAACATTAATATAGAGATGGTATTAAGGAAATAACTATTAATTAATATTCAAGGAAAGAAGTTAAGAAAATAACTCACAACTTTAATAATCAACAAGCTTCAAGAGCAACACCAAGAATGGAAGTTTAGCTCCTCATTTGGAGACTAAACATAGCTAGAAAAATATAAAGAAATGCTATTCTAAACTGAGCTAAAGAGTATGGAAGAAGGGATGATGTTTTGTGAAGAAAAAGTGTGCTATTTATAGGTGTTTTTCAACACCTTTGGCCCGGTACCCGACCGGGTGAAGTACTCACCCGACCGGGTCCATGTCAAAATCAAATATCCTCCACGTTCTGGCGATCTTCAGCATGTTAAAGTGTCCGGGTCAAGTCAGACCCGACCGGGTGGGGTAGGGGACCCGACCGGGTGAGTGCAAAAATTGGATATTCTTCACGTTCGGGTGATCTTTGCACACCGGGTTGTCCCCGGTCACTTCTCACCCGACCGGGTGAGGTAGTGGGCCCGACCGGGCCATGCACTTTCTTTGCATTTTCGTTTTTCACTTCTTACCCGACCGGGTCAAGTATTATACCCGGTCGGGTATTTGCTCCTGGGCAGCCAAATCTTCTTTTTCTTTACTTCAAAGTCTCCCTTTCCAAAACCACAAATCCTAACTAAACTTTACAACTGACAAATAAAGACTAAGATACAATTACAACTGAAATCACATAAATGTTTAAAAACTAAATAAAACGTCAAACAATTAACATAAATCAAACATAAAAACATGTAATTATGCACTACTAATTAGTGTGCATCAGCAAACAACAAATTCTCCCAATTGCATGGGCAGTCATTGCTTCTGAGACCAAAGCCACCTAGAAGTGGTTTATAGAGAACCCTAAAAAAAGACTTGCAAATTGGAAGAGGGAAATGGTGGCCATTTGTTTGTGATCAACAAAAGGTGACATTGACTTAATATGTCATATTTACATAGTTTAAAAACAAGTAGTATGATATACTATTATGCATAATCTTTCATATTTTCATATTTTAAAAATAAATTGTAATATATCTTATTATGCATAACATGTCATATTTACATATGTTAAAAATAAATAGTATCATATCTTATTATGCATAATCTGTCATATTGACATATGTTAAAAATAAGAGAGAATTTCCTAAATAGCAGTAAAACAGTTTTGAGATTCCACCATATGTCTATCGTGTTTTTTATTCCCTGAATATGAGTAAATATTTGCCAAAATTTGGCATTACTAGGCTTTAAACATGACATTTTTCCCAAACATGGCAGAATTACTCCTATTGAGGGAATAAAAATATGAAAGTCATATTTTAGAATTTCAAAATGTTTTTACTCTTATTTAGGGCAATTTCTATAAAAATAAATAGTACGGAGTATCATATCCTATTATGTATAATCTGTCATATTTACATAGTTTAAAAACAAATAGTATCATATCCTATTATGCATAATCACTCATATTTACATATTTTCAGGGGTTAATGCCAGATTTATATGAGACCTTACCTAAGGTTGAACACATAAGATGTGTGAGGCACATTTGCGCCATTTGGAGAAGAAGTCATCCCGGGTTGGATTTGCAAAGGCAGTTCTAAAAGTGCCGCAAATATGTCTCAAAGAGAGAATTTGAGCTGAATCTCGAGGTACTCAAATCTCTCTCCAAGTGCTCATGCTGATATTCTCAAGATAGATCCCAAGTTTTGGTGTAGAGTCCTTCTTAATAGGAATATCAAGTGTGAAATAGTTGATAATAATCTGTGTGAGGCTTTTAATGGTGTTATAGGACCTGCATTTAATGGACTTTTATCTAAAATTATACTCTTCAATACAAAAAGATATTAAGAATAGGCTGAGCTGGCATTATATGATGCACTGATACTTCACTAAGACGCCGTTTCCGTGTATCCGATACGTATCCGATATCGATACTCGCCGATACACGCCTTGTACATTTTAGATATATATCCGTAATTTAATAAAAGAACTGAACTTAATTATGAAATTGTAGATACTTTTGATACAAGTCTCTGTAGACAGTTACGCGTATCTAAGGATGATTTAACATACATGAATAAAGTAGTCGAGTACCCAACCAGGCGACCAACCGACGACAACTTATCATTCCTTATTCTTCAACCGCATTCTTATTCAGTACAACTCTTCAGTCCTTATTCTTTTTTCAACTGCATCTCTTATCGAGTAAAGTAGTAACTAATAAGTAATAATATATCTTCTTGTTCTTCTCTCATACAATTATTATGGGTATGTTTGCAAACAATTAAAAAAATGATTTTCAGCTTTGGGCTTCAAAAAGCTGAAATGAATGTTTTCAAATGTTAATTTCTACTTAAATTAAACACTTAAAGCTAAAAGCTGAAACTGTTATTTACTTTTTCTAATACACAAAAGACATATTTTACAAAACACTGCCAACTTTTACTTTTCAAAAATCAATTTTTTCTCAATCACTACCAACTTTTACTACTAAGCAATATTTTCAAAATTACTTTAAAATCACTTTTTTAAAAAAGAAGAAGCAATCGCAAACACTCTCTAAGTCTCAATTCAGTTCACATGTAAATCAATTCACCTGTAAATCAATTGCATTTGAAATATTTTTTCATTGTGTTTTTTATAATTCATTTGTTTCATGTATTTTCTTCCGGTGTTGTGGGTTTTAATCGAGTTAATTTCTTTTGGTTGTTAACTTTTAATACTATTGAAATTTCACTTTTGAACCTCTAAATTATTTATATTTGCAAATTATACCCTATATTCTTATTATTTATAAATATATCATTGTACCCGTATCCTATAACTTTCGAAGTTGCCCAACTGCCATATCCATATCAGTGTATCCGTATCCGTGCAACATACTTGGCAATGACAAAATAGGAAAGGGGTCGATCCATATACTATACAGACCTTCGGCCTCACCTCCTTCCTTACAAAAAGTTCAACTTCTTCTAATAAATAAAAATATAGTTTTCGTAGGAAAATTACTCGGGCAAAAACCAAGCTATCCTCCCCACTACACGCAGGGAAGATCTACTTATGTGTCATGGTGAGCTGAAACTCAGAGCAACTTTTTAGTGTAATTTTTTTCCATATTTAGCTCAATCCGCTAATGTTTAAGTCTAGTATAATTAGTTTTGAGTGCAAGGCATCCCAGACTGTTAGATTCGCCCCTCACTACACCACGACTCAATAAAAATCATAGTGAGTTTTCTTAAGAAAAAATGTTCTGCATGGAAAGGATTAAATGTTTTGGAATTTAATTTGAAGAATTTCCATCTCATGCAAACGTAAATTCAATTTATTCTCTTCTGCAACTACTTCAAACATTGGATTCTACCAAGTTTATTTTATCCTATATAAGTTCAGAAATGCTATAATTTTGTAGATAAAACCTAGTCTATATTCTCAATGTTATCTACTTATTCTGTAAGAAGAAATTCAAAGAGCAATTTAATTCTATGGTATCGAACTTATGAATAAACTGTTCATTTTTGGGGAAACCTTACACAGGCAAGATTTCGAATTTGAAAAGTGGGTCTCCTCCCCATCTCAAAAGATTTGCACCCTTGTATTCTCATATAGGGCTATTATTTGTTACTTGAATTACTTGTTTGAATTTATATGTTAAATTTACATTTCTTCACTTGATAGGATGTTGAAATTTTAAGAAGGTAAGTTACATTTCCTTCCTGGCTTGTCTTGTCAGCTTCTCCATACTTTTTCTCATAGAAAGTTCCAGGAACTAAGGTAAGTTTTCGTGGTGGGTGACTTTCTTTTTCATGTTTCAGTTTTTATTTAATTTAATAATTTTAACTTATAATTTTCATTTAGAATGGGAGCATCATTCTTATAGAGTGTAGACTATCTCATTTGTAAGACAGTTGTCCCACATATCAAATACATCGTAGATAATTTTCATCATATTGTCACATCAGCAGCAATGCACCACCAAGAGCATCGGAAATGCTCTAATGGGTACAAGCAAGGCTAGTTATGCATAGTGCTCGATGCTTTAATTGATTGTGTGTGTTATACGAAGTATATTGCTAACATAACTGATCATATTTGTAAGCCTGACCCGGCCCGGTCAGCCCGGACTGGGGCCCAGACCGATGGCTTAAAGAGGCGAGCTACGGCCTACGGGCTAGACAATGGGATCAGGCCCGGTCCGGGCCAAAATATTTTTTTTTCTTTTTTGGCGTTGGATTGGCAGGTAGATGGGTGGGGCTGGGCGGTTTGGGGGGTTTGGGGTGGGGAGGGTTGGAAATAATTCGAAATTACCCAAAAACAAAAAACAAAAAAAATGGAGACCGACCCGACCCGGCCCGACCCCGGTACTAACCCAGGCCGGTACCGGGCTTGAATAATTTGGACCCAGAGCCCGGCCCAGCCCAATCCCGTTCCATGCCTAATTCTCCTCTTCATTATTTTTTATTATTGTTTATTGTTTTATTCTCTTTATTTTCTAGGCAGGATTATTTTAATTAGTTCCCACTCCCATTATCTCTTTTTTTTTCGTTTTAACTGGTTTGATCTAGTTTTCTATTATATTTCTTACTCTTTCTTAGTTATTGATGTTCTGCTTCAATCGCAGTTGCCATTTACATATACTACGCATTATTTATTACATAATATGATTTTATTTTCTACACATTACAGATTGTTATTGATAGAGTATATGGGCCCTCGGCCCCTATTGAAGACATAAATCTAGAGATGTCTGACCAATTGCTGAGTTCTTGAAAATTGATGTGTAATGTACACATTACTTTTCCAGGAAGATGGCAGGCTAAGTGAGCATTCCATGTCAAGCCAGACCGTTCCATTACCCACATCCTCTCCTCTGGGATATTTGGACAACAGTTCAAGCATCACTTTCTGTCGCAGCAGAAGTATTTGATGACCAAAATCATGATAGCAATGATTTTCTGGAACAACTTGCACCAAGCTGCAACATCAGCATAAACCTGTTGAGTGATATTAAAGCTGACCGGAATGTCATGTTGGAGTGATGCTATATTCCTTTTTAAAATCACATATTGTGATACCTTATTATGGAATATAGGATCTAAATAGAGTTTATACATGTTGATTACCACGTGAACAATGGTGAAAATCACGTTCAACAAGTGAAAGAATGGACTGATCATATGGGGATTGAAAACAAAGCCTTGTGCAATTTGTAACTTACATGCACATCACATAAATAACGAAGGCATGACTAAAGCAAAAGGAATCTTGAAGTACAAGGCATAGCTATGGCAAACAATTGTACGGTTCATTCAACTCTCATACTAATTCCACATTGCCAATAACTTGGAGCACTTATAGCACCTTGAATGTAAATTTAGCAGGCAAAGCAATTCCAGGATATCAGTAGGTGAGGCAAAAAAAACCTTGTGGAAAGCAAGAAAATATTCTCTTAACTTGCCCATAACTGTCAAATTCTCCTTCTGTTGTCTACTCGAGCTTTCTTGGATGTTCCAGCTTCCGATTCTTCTGCACTGGATTTTATCTAAAGGAGATGGAAAGTTAATGGTCATATTATGTCCATTTGACACTTGCAAGCAACTCTATGTAAAATTCTTATTACCTTGCTTAGTTTATCCCTGACGAAGTGAACAGTTTGGTTCATAGATTGTGATGGAAAATATTCCTGTGAACAGATGGAGATAAAAATTATTTTCTACAAACAAAACTTTTCAACATTCATACTTTGGTTTCTTCCCTGAAAGAGAAAAATGCTCTGCAACAAAAAAATGTTCTCTTAGAAAACTAGTGCAGTGAATTCTGTATCATGATCTAACCTTTTCAGAAGATACTGCACAAATAGTCATAGAAGCATCTCTGTTGTAGTTGGTCTCTTGTGACTTCATGAACTGACTATAGGAAATGTGGGGTAATGCATTAGCAAGTAGATTTTCTTTTTTAACCATTCCACACCCTTTTCTAAAATTACCTTTGATTAATACCCAACGTTTTAGAGGTGCAGTGTATATGTGAGGAGGTTGAAGAGATTATCGATGTGCTCACACCATCTAGCCTGTGGATTGCAGAATTTATGCACCTTTGAGCTGAAATATCATTAGTAGCAACTAAATTATTTTGGGAGGGGGAAATACCAAACGCTAATAAAAATACTCTCCCCATCCCAATTTTTTTTTCGTTTAAGAAAAACAAAATAGAAAATCTGTGTCCAAATTTAGAAATTTAATGAATATTTTTTTATTACTCTCCCAAATTTGGAAATATAACTCTTTCAATATTACATGCTTTTGTATCTTAAAAGGGAACAAATCAACTAAACAGAACTAATGTTAAACTTAAATATGGATAGAAGAGCAATTTTGTAAGGTTCCTTAAAATATAGGTGCACTTTCTAACACATCAATTATAGGCACATTTTATACATGTCAATAACTTACACTTAGGTCGTGTTAGAACTTCCCTTCTCCTGCCTTCCAACTTCTCCTTTGTATCAGAGAGGCTCTCATAGTGAGGTGCATATGAGACCTGAATCCTGTTCCCTAGGAATACAAACTCGTCCAATTTCCTTTTAGCATACCTATATAAAAGTTTATTCATATTTATAATTCTAAAGTTCAAATACATGCCAAGATGAGGATTGCTAATTTTATACAATAACTAGTTCGATGCTAATTTATGCTCTTCCTATTTAAAAAGTGTGTAACTGGCAAACTGCACCAGTTTCCTATCAAACTTTTATACTTGTACTGCTTTAATCTCATTATATTTTCGAATATCACAGAAATTAGAACGGCCTTATTATTTATGTCGCAGACTCGCAGTGTTGAACTACAACAACAACAACAACCACAACAACATACAAGTCTTAATTCCAAAAGATTTTGGGGTCAGCTAACATGAAACGATCCATGATATCGATGCCAAAAAGAGAAGACAGACAAGAAGAAGAAAAAATGATAAAACCAATAAGATAAAGATAAATAAATATAAGATAACAATAACATAAAAATATAAGAAAGATAAAAGATTAAAAGATAAAAAAGCTAGAAGATAAAAATAACTTAAGCACATAAAAAGACAAAGAAGATCAACAATAAAAGAAACAGAGAGGAAAAAAAAGATCAATCGTCCACACGAATGTGCGCCCTTCACTTTGCCCTCTCCAAAGTCATACTCTCATCCAATCCAAGAAGACGCATATCAGTTCTGATTCCTCTAGTCCAAGTCTGTTTGGGTCTTCTGCTCCCTCTCCTCTCTGTCTCTTCTCCCCATCACTCGGTCTTCTACGCACATGCCCAAACCATCTCAAGCGAGACTCCTACATCTTATCTTCTATAGGTGCTACTTTCACTTTTTATCTGATTATCTCATTCCTCATGCGGTCTTTTCTGGTATGTCCACACATCCAACACAACATACGCATCTCTGCCACACTCATCTTTTGAATGTAACATTGTTTCACCGCTCAACACTCTACGCCATACATTAATGCAGGCTTAATTGATGTTCGATAAAACTTACCTTTCAGTCTAGTCGACATACCTCGATCGCAAAGAAATCCTGATGCATCTTCCATTTCATCCACCCAGCTCTGATTTTATGGGATACATCTTCATCTAATTCACCATCTTTCTGAATTATGGAGCCCATGTAACGAAACGTATCACACACCGGTATCTCTCTACCATCAAAAGTAATTTCATTGTTGCTACTAATTCTACTTCCACCAAACTTGCACTCCATATACTCGGTCTTGCTTCGCCTCAATCTGAAACCGTTGGCCTCCAATGTTTGTCGCCATACTTCCAACTTTGCTTTAACACATGATTGTGTCTCATCAATCAATACAATATCATCAGCAAACATCATGCACCACGGTATATCTTCTTGAACTGACTTTTTAAGTTCATCCATGACTATAGCAAATAAGAAAGGACTCAGAGCTGATCCTTGATGAACTCCGATAGTAATAGGGAACTCTGCGGTCTTCCCTACACTAGTACGGACACTCGTAGTACAAGCCTCATACATATCCATGATGATACTGATATACTTACGTGATATGCCTTTTCTAGTTAAGGCCCACTAAAGGACTTTTCGAGGTACCCTATCATATGCCTTTTGTAAGTCAATGAACACCCAATGCAGATCCTTTTTAGTATCTCTATACTTCTCCACAACTTGTCTAAGAAGGTGAATGACCTCAGTTATTGAGCGTCCAGGCATAAAACAAAACTGATTCTCCGAAATTTTCACACTTTTTTGAAGTCTTTGCTCAACCACTCGCTCCCAAAGTTACATGGTGTGACTCATAAGCTTAATCCCTCGATAGTTGGCACATTCTTGTATGATAGCACAAGGGGTGTAGAGTATTTTAATAAAGTGTATGTGAGGAGGGGAATGAAGGGACAGGAGTTTATGTGAGGAGGGGAATGAAGGGACGGGAGTTTATGTGAGGAGGGGAATGAAGGGACGGGAGTTTATGTGAGGAGGGGAATGAGGGGGGAGGAGTAATTAATGTGCTGGTTGATTTCTGAATATAAGGAAGGGAGGGGAATAGGGGAGGGAAGGCTGGTATTCAGTTAGAAATGGTTGGGCTTTGGCTAGAGAGAAACTCCTTGTTCCTTCTCTAGATTTGGTTGTTATTCTCTTTATTTTCCCTGTAATCTCCATTGCTAATAATTGGTATCAAAGCTGTTTGGTGATATTCTGGTTCCTAACAGTGGTATCAAAGCGGTCCGTTCCTGCGGACTGTGAATGAGATTGACGCGTTCAAAAATGGAACATCGAGTTGAGAATCTCGAACAAAGTGTAAACCACATCGAGCAGAAACTGGAACGCAACTGTACAGAGGTGCGCACGATCTCCGACAAGTTGGATGGAGTGATGGCCGAACTGCGCCTTATCGCGACCAACCAGAGTCATCGACGATCCAGGGGGAGGTCGCGTACGACTAAGCGAACGGGTACACGTACTCGGACAAGGGAGTCGCACTCTGGAGGTAATTCTCACAGTGCGTCAGTTCGTCTCACGAACCAGGTGATACGCGTGTCAATCGCGGATTTGAGAGGACGGGAAGGAAGGTAGATCTGCCTCTTTTCAACGGAGTTGATGTTCATGGTTGGATTATTAGAGTGGAACGCTTCTTCAAGTTGAACCAGGTGCACGATCAGGAAAAAGTGGAGCTGGTTGTCCTGGCCATGGAGGAAAAAGCCCTGAACTGGTTCCAGTGGTGGGAAAAACAAAATGAGGAGAAATCGTGGGAGGAATTTAAAGGAGCACTAATACGGAGATTTCAACCAGAACTGCTGCAGAATCCTTATGGACCGATGCTAAGCATTAAACAAACTGGATCGGTAATGGAATATAGAGAACGTTTTGAACTGGTGGTAGGTCCAATGAAGCATATTGATGAGGAAATACTCAAAGGAATTTACCTTAATGGCCTGAAGGAAGAGGTGAAGGCTGAACTCAAATTGTACCCAAATGCTACTCTGCCTGAACTGATGGATATCTCGCTGGTGTTAGAAGGGAAGAATGCTGCATTTCGAGGGGAAAAATACAAGGAGGGGGACCAGAGGAGTGGAAAGGAGAAGGGAGAGGCACTGAAGAAACCACAACAGTGGATAGATGGCAGCAAATGGAGATCCCAAACCAATATTCAAGCGTCTCAAGAAAAATCGGGAGTTGAGCCTAAGGTGGGAGTTAAACCGGATCTCAATAATAACTGGAAGGGTGGCCAGAGGCTAACACTAGCAGAATTACAAGACAGAAGCAAGAAGGGGCTATGTTTCAAATGCGGGGAAAGATGGGGCAAGGATCATGTGTGCAAAATGAAATACTACCAGTTTATTCTCACAGAGGGGCCTGAGGAAGAAGCAGATACTATGGATTCAGAAGTGAATTTGAAAGAGACAGATATCTCCCTAGAACCGCAACAAATACAACTGTCAGCCATGAGCAAACAAGGGATCACTACACAGAAGACTTTCAAGTTGGAAGGGAAATTGATGGAAAAGGGGTTACACAGATATGTGTTGATCCTGATTGACAGTGGAGCCACCCATAATTTCATATCACAAGCCATAGTGGAGGAATTACAATTGCCATACATCCAAATTGATGGATTTCAGGTGGAATTGGGTAATGGGGACAGAGTGAGCAACAATAGGAGGTGTGTGGGATTGCAGGTTGGGGTGCAAGGCCTTAATATTACACAAAACTTCTACCTGTTGGAGCTGGGAGGGACAAATTTAGTGTTTGGGGTTGAATGGCTTGCCAGTTTGGGGAATGTAGAGATCAATTTCCAGGATCTCACACTTCAGTGGTGGGAAGACGGGAAAATAAAGAGCCTAAAAGGGGATCCAACTTTAAATCAAGTGCAAGTTTCCTGGAAAGCACTTGTAAAGGCTATTAAAAATGAAGGCCAAGGTTTTTTTGTGACCTGTGGGAATCTTCAGGGTGAATCCGTTAATGGGGCTGCACCAGGAGGATTTTGGCAGGACGTGTTGGACAAGCATAAGGAGGTTTTTCAAATGCCAGCAGGGTTACCCCCTAAAAGAAGTTGTGATCATGCTATCAACATTAGGGAAGGAGCTGAAATACCTAACATACGACCCTACAGGTACCCTCACTACCAGAAAGATGAGATAGAGAAAATTGTGAAGGAGTTGCTAAATACAGGGATTATCCAGCCCAGTACCAGCCCGTATAGTAGTCCTGTGCTCTTGGTTAAAAAGAATGATGGTAGTTGGAGGTTCTGTGGAGATTACAGAGCCCTAAACAAGATCACAGTGCCTGACAAGTACCCCATACCCATAATTGAAGAGTTACTGGATGAATTGGGAGGAGCCACGGTATTCTCTAAGCTTGATCTGAAATCGGGCTACCACCAGATCAGAATGAAAGAAGAGGATAGACACAAGACTGCTTTTCGAACGCATGAAGGACATTACGAGTACCTGGTAATGCCTTTTGGATTAACAAATGCTCCTTCCACTTTTCAAGCTTTGATGAATCAGATTTTAAGGAAGTATTTGAGGAAGTTTGTTTTACTATTTTTTGATGACATACTTATCTACAGTCCTTCAGAAAGTGAACACAAAGAACACTTGAGTACCATCCTACAGTTACTCAAGGACAACCAGTTGTATGCTAATCCTAAAAAGTGTATAATAGGGCAGAAACAACTGACCTACTTGGGTCATATAATTTCTGGGGAAGGAGTAGCTGCTGACCCGGGGAAGGTTAGGGACATGTTGGACTGGCCCGAACCTAAAGAAGTCAAAGGATTGAGGGGATTTCTGGGCCTAACAGGTTACTACCGGAGGTTTGTAAAAGGGTATAGTAAGATTGCAGCGCCCCTAACAAACCTATTAAAGAAAGATGCATTTAAATGGAACCCCGAGGCTTCTCACGCCTTTGAACACTTAAAGAAAGCTATGACAACTCTACCTGTTCTCAGGGTTCCGGATTTTACAAAGACTTTTGTGGTTGAGGCAGATGCTTCCGGGACAGGTGTAGGAGCAGTTTTAATGCAGGAGGGGAGACCTGTGACTTATATGAGTAAGATTTTATCTAAGAGGAACCAGAATAAATCGGTGTACGAAAGAGAATTGATGGCAATCGTACTGGCTATACAAAAATGGAGACCCTATTTATTAGGCAGGGTCTTCGAGGTGCACACGGATCAGAAAAGCCTGCGGTTTCTAACAGAACAAAGAATAATGGGGGAAGAACAACAAAAGTGGGTTGCCAAGCTTTTGGGATACAATTTTGTGATTAAGTACAAACCCGGCAGTGAGAATAAGGCAGCAGATGCCCTCTCCAGGAAGGGTAGTATACACAGTTTGTCCGTTGTTACCTGTCAAGAGTGGGAAGGGCTAGATGAGGAATTGAAGGCAGATCAGAGATATCAGAATATCATACAAAGAGTGATAGGAAATCCAGCTAGTATACCAGATTTCAAGTTCAGAAATGGCTTATTGTATTATCAAGGAAGATTGGTACTACCTAAGCAATCTCCTAGAATACCTCTAATTTTGAAAGAATTCCATGATTCTGCAATTGGAGGGCATGCCGGGGCCTTCAGAACTATGAAGAGAGTATCTGGTTTATTCTATTGGGTTGGCATGAGAAGGGACATACAAGAATATGTGCAAGGATGTGAAGTATGCCAAAGAAACAAGTATCAGACCCTCAGTCCAGCAGGATTATTGGAACCTTTGCCCATCCCTGACAGAATATGGGCAGATATCAGCATGGATTTTATTGGAGGGTTGCCCAAGGCTCAAGGGAAGGATACAATTTTGGTGATAGTGGACAGGCTAACCAAATATGCCCACTTCATAGCCCTTGTACATCCTTACACAGCCAAGGAGGTGGCAGAAGTCTTCGTTCAGGAGGTGGTACGATTACATGGATTCCCTAAATCCATAGTATCTGACAGGGATAGGGTCTTCTTGAGTTCTTTTTGGTCAGAATTGTTCAGGATGGCAGGCACCAAACTGAAGTACTCCACAGCTTACCATCCTCAAACTGACGGACAAACGGAGGTGGTGAACAGGTGCTTAGAAACCTACTTGAGATGTATCACTGGATTGAAGCCTAAACAGTGGCCTAAATGGCTCTCATGGGCCGAATATTGGTACAATACTAATTATCACATATCTATCAAGAATACCCCCTACAGGGCCTTATATGACAAGATCCTCCCGCTATTGTGAGGGGAGATGTAACTGTGACATCAGTAGAAGAAGTCAACAAGTTGACGGCTGAGAGGAATTCAATGCTAGAAGAATTGAAGAGCAGTTTAGCTATGGCCCAAAACAGGATGAAGCAGCAGGCTGACAAACATAGACGGCCCTTACAAGTGGAGGTGGGAGACAAGGTATTCTTAAAAATTCAGCCTTATAAAATGAAAAGTCTAGCTAAAAGGATGAATCAGAAGTTAAGCCCAAGATTCTATGGGCCTTTTGAAGTGATAGAAAAAATAAATCCTGTGGCATTCAAACTGAAACTACCCGAGGGTTGCACAGTGCATCCAGTGTTCCATATCTCTTTGCTGAAGAAGGCAGTATCTCCTAACCTTCCCTGCCAGCCCCTACCTACCTGCATCTTAGAAGAGTGGGAGTTACAAGGGCAGCCTGAAGAGGTGGTGGATTACAGAGTAAATCCTAATGGGGAGAAGGAAGTGCTAATTCATTGGAAGCAGCTGCCAGCTTTTGAGGATTCTTGGGAAGATTTAAACAAGTTTCAGAAGCAGTTCCCAACATTCCACCTTGGGGACAAGGTGGTAGTTCAAGGGGAGGGTAATGATAGCACAAGGGGTGTAGAGTATTTTAATAAAGTGTATGTGAGGAGGGGAATGAAGGGACAGGAGTTTATGTGAGGAGGGGAATGAAGGGACGGGAGTTTATGTGAGGAGGGGAATGAAGGGACGGGAGTTTATGTGAGGAGGGGAATGAGGGGGCAGGAGTAATTAATGTGCTGGTTTGATTTCTGAATATAAGGAAGGGAGGGGAATAGGGGAGGGCAGGCTGGTATTCAGTTAGAAATGGCTGGGCTTTGGCTAGAGAGAAACTCCTTGTTCCTTCTCTAGATTTGGTTGTTATTCTCTTTATTTTCCCTGTAATCAGTCTGGAGTATTGAGAATTCCTCAATCTCCATTGCTAATAATACGAAAACTGTTTGGTGATATTCTGGTTCCTAACATTGTACATCACCCTTATTTTACTCGCAGTGTTGAACTATTTAGAAAAAATAAAGAAATGAAGAAGTTGGCTTTATCATACAGATGTTGGCTTTATATTCAAGATAAGGGATAACTGACTTCGTAGATTTGGGCATTGCCAACAATAACAGTGAAGATATAAAAAGAAGTCAAGTAAAAGGAAATTATATGGATTTGAGGGGGTAGAAAAGAGACCTTAAGGCGTAGAGAGCACATGGCACAACAAAAGAGGTGGAATGAAAAAATACTTTTGAATGACCTCATGAGGTTAACTCTTGGTCCATGTAGACGACCCCATTGATTTGGATTTAAAGCTTTATGGTCTTGTTTGTTATTCAAGATAAAAGATTGCCTATACTTCTATTAGTTCTATAGAAGTTTAGTTTACTATACAGAGGGATTAGCAGATTCCATTGCTAGTTGCTACATAAAATACAATACTAAGGAATTCAACCTTCTTTCTTTTTTGGGGGGTTTTCTCCCTCCTCCAGCTTTAATACTATAGAATGTTAATGTTACCTGGCATTTTCTATCCTTTGAAACTTGACCCAGTAGACATCAGTAAATGGTTCACAGTCTTCAGCATCCATGGGTTTACATCTGAGTAAAAGCAAAAATTATACTCAGTATAATTGTATAAAAAGAATACATAAAGATCAGTATTGGGTAGTATTTCACATACATGGTCTATGATTGAGCTTTTAGACTATCCCAACAAAGCTAATAAAGAAAATACTGGATATTATAACTTTTTAAAAAATGTTGATACACAAAATAGCATAAATAAACTAAAAGAATGGTTGTCATGACATAATACTCCCTCCGTCCCTCTATACTTTCGTAAACTATGATTATTTGGCAGTCCCAAATTTTTCGTCAATTTCCCTTTAAATAACAAATTTGTAGTTAATACCATTCTCTCTCATCATCATACTTTAATTACAACTTCAACTTTCTTTCATTAAACATATCAGTGAAACCCTTTCAAGACAGGGAGTATATTAATCAGATCGCAGTAAAAATTTATGTGCAGTAACCACAAAAAGAAAGTCCATCAAGAGGACATAGAGCAAATTCAACTTTGAAAGCATTATACAGTACTCTTCAAGTTTCCCATAAGAAGAAAACAATTTTGCGAGATCATCACCACACCCCAGGGCTGGAACATTCCTCACAATCAAAAACCTGCAGCAGATTCCAATAATTTCAAAGTAAAACAAGATGATAATTGATGAATGATGAATCAAAAAAAGTTCTGTAGATAGAACAAACTTGGATTCATCGCAAACCGTGTAGACCCGGATTGCAGAAGGCTCATCTCTGTATCGAGGCATTATGCATTCCTTCACACCCAAAATGGACCAGAAATTGAATATGGAATCAAAAATATCCAAGAAAGAGTTCTATGGAACAAATATCCCCGGAAAAAAAAACTTACACATATTACACACTTTGGATCTGTTTGGTAGTTTGCACATAAAATTTTACATGAAAAATGATGTCATCTAATAAATTTGAGAGGCCCTGTTCTAAAAATAAAATTGAGGCCCACGTTAAAATTAAATACTAAAAATTACTTTGTATTACCGATATGAATACTTATTATTCAAAGCAAATGAATACTCATTAATCAATGAAATTACTAAAGTTTACTCATTACACAAATTAGAGCACCTGAAGAGCTAAAAAGTCTATAAAAGTTATTCGCAATATAAATAATCATTACTTTTGATTCTTGCCTTCTTGGTCTGCAACTGAACTCATTACTCAAAGCAGTTTATATAAAGTGAGACTAAAATCTACCAATGAATCAATGGCGATGGATCTCTTATTCAAGTTAAGCTTGTAGACAATGAAAATTAATAGGTTTATTATTTAATAGCAAACCAGAAAATCTCAGCAATTTTTTTAACTTTTAACAATCATTAAAAAATTAAAATAGCAACTTTTAAATTTACCAATCATTCAAATAGCAATTTTTAACTTCAACAATCATTAAAATATCCAATCAAATGGCAGTAGACAGAAATTTAACAGAGAAATAGAATTATTCAATAATAATTAATAAATCTGATACCTTCCTATTGCAGGAGATAATGAAGACACGAAGAAATAAGTGAGATAGAGGCGAGGGTTTAGTGGAATTGAGAAGAATTTCTTACAAGTTTTAACCCTTTTGCAGACTGGCATGGAAGAATGAAGAATCTCTGAAGCAGTCACAGAGAATCACTCAAGAACTGAAGAGTGAAAAACCAAGAATTGAAGAGTGAAGACGACGAAATGAGAGGGAGTAGGGAGGAATTCTCTAGCCTGCGAAATGGGGAGAGGAAGGGGAAGAGGAAAACGGCTGAAGAGACGAAGGCAACTCGCGGAAATTTAGGAAGAGACTGAAGGGAAATTTAGTATCATGCTCCCGGTAATGTGTTAAACCAGTCATTCGCTACAGCAGAAATAGAAGCAGGAATCAATTAAATTCCAAACACGCCTCAAACAAGTTGACTCACAAAAACGGGTTTTAAGAAAAATCACTTATATTACTAGTATTACTAGTATTCAAATCGTTATATCAAACTCAAAGAGATCAATACCGACAACTATTCTCAACCAATTATCATTATCAATTGAACATAGAAATGATCATCCCTGAAAGAACATGAATCGTTAACCATTGGACGAGTTTGATATACGGAGTAGCAATCACTGGACATATATAACCTTCTAACGATAAAATAACTCGCTAAATTGTCACTCATTATTGTGCGATAAATCCCGATAATGTGCATTGTTTTGAAGTATTCTCATTTCTCACGTTAAGGAGTGTTCTCACCAGAACCGGACCCTATTCTATGAGAATACTTCTTCCCGTGAGAAATGAGAACGCTCCAAAACGATGAATATTATGGTTCACGGGTGCATATTTTTGGTTAAAATAATGCACGGTTCGAATATGCACATCTGTGATTAAAATAATGCACAATCCAAATGTACATTCTCTAATGGGGGGATTTGACTTTGAACTCCACTTTTTGGGTGATATTGGACTTTGCATCTCATTTTAAAAAACTTTGAATTTGCACCCTATCACATTACATTTTGTGAAGAAAATTTTCTGAATGGGGTGCAAAGCCAAAAGTTTTTAAGTAAAATGGAGTGCAAAGTCAAAGTTTTTTGAAAATGGGGTGTGCGATCCAATTTCACCCCAAAAGTGGGGTGCAAAGTCAAGTTCTCTCTTTTTTAATTTATGATAGTGCATATTTTTGTTTTACAAAAATGCACAATACACAAATCCAACGCTCTAGAATTATTCTCATTTCTCTCCTTAGACCATGTTCTCATTTGATCCAAATTTCATCTCTCTATATATTTGTGTGTGTGTCGTTTACTCTAGGTTCGGTTTCGTTTTATTTGAGAGTGTTTTTTCGTCTTATAAACGACACCGTTTTACTTTAACAAACGACACCGTTTTATCAAATGAAAACTTTAGAACAGAAAACAGGTTACATCGAGAGAAACGGGCCGTAGCCTACCGCTATAAGAAGATGAAAGCTTCAACGGCGCCCGCGGAAATACCATATGTATATATATATACCTTAACCTTCCGGTGAAGGGGGGCGCTGTTACCGGCTCTACCCCTGGCTCCCTCGCTGTCTTCAATGTTATATTATACGGAGTATAATGAAATTATGAGCAATAAAATAAGTAATAATCACATTCCTTGAAAACCTCGATGTTCACATTGATTGAGTAAGTCATCATAAATATGTTAATGAAAAGGGAGAATTTGAGTTTGCGCCTTATGTTATGAGTGATATTTGACTTTGCACCTCATTTTTAAAATTATTAATATATGCACCTCATTAGCCCAAAACATGTGAAGGAGTGGGGTGCAAAGTCAAATGATTTTATAGTGAATTGAGGTGCATACACTAATGATTTTGAAAATCGGGTGCAAAGTCAAATATCACCCAAAACATGGTGTGGAAACTCAAATTCTCCCTAATGAAAACTATTTTATTAATTTAAGGGACAAATTATATCGTACATCCGGATGTACGGTGCTCACGGTACATCCAGGTATTTTTGTAATATGTAAGAACTTCATGGACATTAGGAGAGGGCGACGTTGGGGAAAGTTTGGCACTCCCACCGGTGACTCACGTAACAGGATCAGCGACGTCCTGCGGAAGCAAAATCTGAGAGATGCGTACAGAGCAGAAGCCATTCCTCTGGGATCTACCTGGATGGGTGGGCGATACTTTCTTTACGCACATCATTTATTTCACCCCATTCTCATCATCCTTCATTTTCTCCATCGACGACGATGCTATGCTTCGACCGGCTACTGATATTTGGGTTTTCATTAATTAGTTTAAGAAGATGAAATGATTTTGCAAAAATGGAAGCTTCGAGTTCCGGCAACCATTTCACCCTATCAGCCTATCTTCTCTTTTACAGTGGCATGGGCGCTTGAAGTGCTTGGCCGGAGTCATCCGGAGACAACGTACAGAAGCCATTCCTCTGGGACGATGGTGCTTGACAAGAATATTGTGCAACTTTCGATTTGCCTATTGGGCAACTTTCTGGTACATGAGTCATAAATTCACATGCTTCTGATATTCAATGAAAACGTCTTGATGCTCAACTAACAAAGTGTGATTTTCATATTATTGCTCATTTGGTATTTATGTATGCTCATTTGCTACTGGTTTTATGCTCATTTTAAAATGATATATCAATGCATACTACAAAGGTACCATATTACATTATATTCACATATTGAAATTTCATAGGAGTTGACGATAGATATAATTTAATAATTTTTTGGAAAATTAAAAATAAGAAAAAGAAAGTGAATTATATATAAGATATGAAGCAGAGATCACGATACTCGATATCAGACTGGTAATACTCAACAAGATTGTTCTGATGTTCAGTAAAAGTTCATTAATGCTCATTTAACAGAAATGCGCATTGATATGAATATCGTAAGGTTTGTTAGTTGAACATCACAACATGTCATTGAGCAACAAACCTCCGCTATTGTCATGAAAATCACGTTTTTTGGTGAATGAACATTAATGAACTTTCAATGAGCATCAAACCTATTATGTTGAGTATTAGGAGTCTAGTGTTCAGAATCGGGATTTCTATTTTCGTAACTTCTAATTCACTTTCTTTTTGTTATTTTTTCTTTAATAAAAATTTATTACAATATATTTATAATCAACTCCTATGAATTTCAATATGTGAATCTAATTTAGAATAGTACTTTTAAAAAGTATTGATATGACATTTACAAAATGAGCATAAGATCAGTACCAAATGAGCATACGTAACTTGCAAAATGCGCATTTATATGAAAATCGTAAGGTTTGTTAGTTGAACATTACGACATTTTCATTGAGCATCAAACCTCTTCTATTGAGCAATAAAAACCTCTTCTATTGAAAATCATGGTTTTTGTCAAATGAGCAATAATGAACTTTTACTGAGCATTACCCTTATTCTGTTGAGTATTAAAAGTCTAATGTTGAGCATCTTGATACTTTTGAAACATGAATTTTTAATGACATTTTAAAATCAGCATAATATCAATACCAAATGAAGATACATAACTTAGAAAGTGAGTATCAAAAAATTAAAAAAAAAAAGTCATTTGGAAATCGCTAGTGTGTTCAAATGCTCATCTGTATATGTTCATCTTGTTTAAGCGTTATTCTCATTTATTATGTGAGAGCAAAGTCGTAATGGTTGGATTGATTTGCCAGATCAATATCCACAGAATCTAGTGTATACAGACTACAAAGCATTAATAGAAGAGTGAGAGAAGTACATGTTTTATTCAATTGCATGAAAAAAATCTTGTAGAAAATTGACATGAAAATAAAAAAGTTGCAGGAATCAAAATACTCCCTCCGTTATTTTTTAGTTGCAACAATCAACATTTCACATTTGCCAACGCACGTCTTTGATCGTAATTATATCTTAATTGAATTAGTAAAAAATATTAAAAATCAGATTTTGAATATTTGTAATGAGATGAATTGAACAATATTTTTTTTAAAAAAAATCATAAAATAATAACGTAAAATGTAGTCAAAGTAGAGCATGTGAATAGTGTAAAATTAACATGTTGTGATTAAAATGGAACGGAGAATATATAAAATAAGTGGGAAGAATCTAACAAGCAAACATCGCCAGCAAAATTGATTTGAACAAAAGCAACTGTGTATAGGTTGAACAAGTCTGCTTTAAGAAGTCCAAAAATAAAGGAATCTGTAAGAAGTCTTATGGCTCGGTTCCATTATTTTTTATTCCTTTTATTGTTAAAAATTGTAATAACTTTTTTATTTCATATCCGATTTTTATAAATCTTATATTATTTATTTTTTATTTTTCATGATCTATCAAATGAGACCAATATTGCTTATGTAATTTTAACAAATTATGGAACTATTATATAAATGATTATTGGATTATAAGGAAAACCGAACTAAATTTAATATAGAAAAATAATTGTGTAAATCACAATTTATCTTAAAGCTGGGTATATAAAAAATTTATTGTATTAGGTATTTATACATGTGAGTTACATATTTTTATATGTGAAGTTATATATTTTTACACGTAGAGTTACATATTTCTACACGCGAGTTACATATATACACACGAGTTGCATTTGACCTGCCTGAACACGACTTACATATATTTACACGTCAAGTTACATATTTTTACACGTAAAGTTACATATTTATACACGTGAGTTACATATTTATACACACGAGTTGCATTTGACCTGTCTGAACGCGAGTTACATATTTTTTTTACGTAAAGTTACATATTTTTACACGTAGAGTTACATATTTATACACACAAGTTGCATTTGGCCTGACTGAACGTGAGTTACATATTTTAACACGTAAACTTACATATTTTTACATGCAAATGTTAATATGTTTAAATTACATAGGCAATATTGGTCTCATTTGAAAGATCATGAAAAATAAAAAATTTTGATATAAATTTTATAAAAATCGGATCAAAAAAAAAAAATTAACATTTTTAAGAAAAGGAGAAATAAAAAATTACAAAGCCCACTGCAATTTGGGATGGTATACCATGCGCACCGTGGGATGGTTGCATTGTATACGAACTGCCTAGGGGGAGGGCAGCAGGGCGACCGCCCTAGGCCCAAAAAAAGTAGAAAGAAAATTAGGCCCAAGTTTTTTTCGTTATATGAAATTCGAGCAGGCTTCTTTTTTTATTTATAATTTCAATTCATTAATTAGGCCTAATGTGTAATTTTTGTTGACAATTTGAAAATTTTAAAACATAAGAAAAAAGTCTTTAATGGAGCTAGACAAATTTTAAAAAAGAATGTAAATTTAGTTTTGATTTTTAAATAGAGGTGGTTGTCGGTCAACGCAATTGTTGTTGAAACAATAAAAGCACATCTCTTCACATTTTTTAGCCTTTAAGACTTTTTATTCTTTTTTATTACAAAATTACCAATTTATATTATTGTATTTGGGCTGTCAGTGCATCCCAATTCTCAAACAGCATCTCAATTATCTATTACGGAGTATGTCTCAAAAAACATAATGCATTAGCAATTTTAAACATTGCACATGTGATCTTGGAAAATATTGATTATAAAGCAATTATTGATGATTTTACTTTACAATGTTTTTTGTGATACTTGTGTTGTTACTTTTGTCGAAATATGTATTTCAAATAATATGAAGATGAATTCCATCTTTATTTTATAACCTTTATTAGATAACTGTAGGGAGAATTCCTGAAAATAGGAGTATTTTTTTTTAGAATTCCACAAAAGGACCTTCATGTGTTTATTTTTTGAATATGAGTAATTATTGTCATGTTCGGAAAATACTACTATGTGTAAAGTGTGATACTGTCAAAATATGGCAGTAAATACTTCTATTTATGTAATAAAAACATGATAATTTTAGTTTGGAATATACTCATGTTTTTAGTCCTATTTAGAGTAATTTCTCATAGTTTTATTATACTATGCAATTTTTACTTTAAGTAAGTGTAACTTCCTGTTTGTCTTGAAATAAGGCCAAAATAGTATATCGCTCATAGGCCCAAAACTGGACAGGACTGACCATGACTTGAGGCAACAATATATGTAAACAGCACACATAAAATCTGCCACGACATTGAGGCTGTGCTTAAGAATGAAAATATGTGTAAATTTCTAACTGTTGATACACTAATTGTTTTATGTGGAAATATTAAGTGTTTGACGTCATTTCTGATATTTTTTGTGGTGGGGGAAATTGTTTTGGTGCACAATCAGGCAGTGCACCTTAAGGCATTTTCAACGGAACACAATTATGGAGTGCTGCTCTCTCAGTAGTGTTGTTATTAGTCAGTGTAATATGAAGAGCTATAAATAAATTACACAAGCAATTGTCAATTACACTATCAATGGTTAAAGTAAAGAGAGTTTACCTGAATATATAAATATAATCGATTTACACGTGAAGTGAACATTAGATTGAGAATCAGGAGAAACTACGGAATCTTAAATAGAACCCTTAAATAGATATAGGTGATGAGAAATTTCTCCACTTCTTTCGTGAGAGGGCGCAAGCATCTCCCCAGTTTCACAGGCTTTGTAATGTTGGTGATGATCATATTTGAGGAGAAGCAATGAAATATGCGGAGAGCCAGGGTTAAAACAGAGAAGGCTTTTAAGTTGAGGCATCTAAAGCGTCAGGAATATATCTGGAAATTTAGCTAAACGATTAAGTCACAAACATAAAGTCTTATGGTGATATCAGATTGAATTACATTATATGCGTAGTAGAATTATCTTGCAATAGCCTTCAGCTAGCGATGCGTGAGTACATCGAGGGAATAGAAAGGCTACAAAATAGAAAGACTGAATATAAATGCTTGTGGTCTAAACGCTCGATTTCAGTCTATTATTTTCAGCTTAAGCCACTTTCAGCCCATCAATCAAACTGGACGATTTTAAAATTTTAATCACAATTGACTTGATTGAAAGGATTTCAGCTCTTCATTAGATGAAGGAACATATGATCTGAGTTGAGGAAATATGATCTGATACCAATAAATGTGAAAAACCTGAAGAATCTCAGAGACAATACAAGACACTTTTTTTATTTTTTCTCCAGACTTTTCCCCTCAAAAGAATATTAGCTTAGATATACTGTATATATCAATACATGCAATAAAAAAGTTTCCCTTCTCTCTTCTTGACATTTACTTTACAAATGATTAATTTTGTTGTGCTAGACTATACATTGGTTTGTCAAAACTAAAATTTCATTCCGTTTAAACTCCCTGTTCTCTCTTTGAATAAGAAGACCTTCTTTGACTCACTAAGTTGACTAAATAACCTACCACTTGAGAATTTCATTTGCTGTATTCCAAACTTTATTTATATATTATGACACATGCGTGTTCTAGCTGGAACAAAGCCCTAGTTATTGAATAAAGAAATTTTTTGTCTAATCTAATTGTACTAGCTACTGATCAAATGAATTCCATTTACATGACTAATTAAGCAATGGTGTGAAGGGGGGTTGGGAAAACCACGCCGACCTCACAAACTAATAATTATTCAACACTGATTGTGATCCACGCTGCTAGATGGCTTATGAACTTGTAAACATTGAACGGGAGGGGAAGCAGGAGAGTACAACTCTCCGAATGTCTGCCAACAGTACGGGTCGTACATTCGGTAGCGCTCTTGCAGTGGCTGTAGTTTGATCCTGTCTAAGGTCACATCCAAACACGGCGTGCTGTCACTGCATGCAAAATGCATTGGTTTCACCGTGTATGTCCCTCTGATGTTCTCGTAGTGGATTCCCGATACAGCCACTGCACTTGTCTGGTTCTTGCATGCTCTTTTGTCACAGTAGAATTGGTCGATTATTATTGGCACTTCAACCTCATCAACCTGAATGTTCGAAAATAGAATCCCTTGCACCAACCCTAACCCACCCTGCACGTACATAATTAGTTAATTAAAATGCGACAATAATTGAAGTACCTGAAGCACCAAGGGTATGTTTTGATCCATTGCAGTTGAGGGGTCACTTGATCTGAAGTAGCACTCATAGGGTAGTAAGTATGATATGCCTAGAAAAGGTTTCCGTACCTGCCATGTTTTTATCCTTACACCATTCATGGTGTTACGCATAATAATGTCACGCACGGTGATATTTGACACACAAGCTTTTGTGTTGTCTCTTCCTAATCCTCCAATGCTGATTCCATGCCCCGGTCCACAATATACATTGTGTATGAATACATTTGCACATCCAGTTTGAATTGAAACACAATCGTCACCTGTAGAAAATAAAATTGTCTATTAGCTAGCTAGGGACCTTTTTTGTTTCTCTAGATGCACAAAATGTGCTGGCCTGGTCGGGAGTTTCCTAAGGTCCCCTTGAGTTTCTGGTAAAGACTGGTACTTCTCAATCATGAAGAGTAATGACCGTCATTGTTCAATCACGTTTCTTAAAAAACTCTGTGTAAACGTAACTAAAATATCCTTGGAAGTTTTCTTGAGGTAACCCCAATGGTTAGATGGAATGTATATGCGAGGATCATTTTGAGATATACCATACACCTAAGGGAGTTGTTACTTGAGGAAGTTTCCCATTTTAATGTTGTCATTCTTTTCCAACGGATTTTGAATTCAGATTATGGATGTGTTCAATAGGATGAGAGGAAAGTAAGAAGTTTTTTTTGTTTAAATTCACTTTTCATGACCACCTGTACATTATGTTTGTATTGTACTTAACGTATACTCTTATTATTTGAAGGGAAAGTTCCCGATAGAGGACCGAAAAAGTTTAGGATTTCCGAAATAAGAGTATTATGTTTTTATTCTATAAAAAGAAGTAATTAATGTCAAGTTTAAAAAATACTTTCATATTTAAAGTCTGGTTATGTTAAAAGTTAAAACATGGCAATAATTACTCCTATTTAGAAGATAAAAATATAGCAATTTTATTTTGAAATTTGTCACAAACATTGTTACTCCTATTTATATTAGGGCAATTTCTTTTATTTGGATAGTTTATATTGGAAAGAAATAAAGTTATAATGTCATAATTAAAAAACTACTTTAACCTTCCTAACTTAGCAAAATAAATTTCGAATTGGAAAAAATAGGATGGAAGTGTTAAGTTTTATAACAAATAACAGTGCCATGGTAGAGAGAAATAAGGATAGAAAATAGAGCACCTCCCTCTCATAATGTTAGAGCTAATTTAATACTACCTACGTCCCTGAATGTTGGTCCTACTTTCCCAAAACGGATGTCCCAAAATGTTTGTCCTACTTTTTCGGTATGATGTATTATACAGTACAAGACTCAAATGTGTAGATATGCTTTAAGGCGTGCATATACTACCCTAGTCACTGCCTTGCTAAAGGAATCGGGTAAGTACGTAGGTATTGGCATGGAGAATTACATAAAAGTAGTAAGTAGTTGTTACCGCAAGCAAGGTTACTGCTGTGGACAAGAACATCCTTTGAGTTCTGAAGATGGATTCCATCTGTGTTGGGGCTATCTCCAGGCGATGAGGCAGTGAAATTGTACACATACACCCCAGCACAGTCATCAAATTTGAGGTGGCATTGAGGGCTATTCTGAATCGTTATACCTGTCACTGTCACATTGAAACTCCCATAGAACCGAAGCGCCTGGAGTGTGTCACAGAAGAACCTAACGCTTTTATTATTATTGTCAATTTAACAATGTCTGGTTTAGCTTAAGGAAGAATAATCAAGAAAAGGGGGGCTTACAGTCGGCTTTAAGGTTGGCATTTCCCCCCCAGGTGAGCGTTTTTCCTGCAGCACAAGTTGTAATTGGATAAATAAACAGGCAGGATGGGATGAGGGAGACGATAAAATGGACTAAATGGAAGGGGGGTAACTGGAATTGCTGCCGGATTTAGTTTCATCTCATCCTCTCTCAGATCATCGAACGGGCGGCTCTGCCACCACACGGAGCCGCTCCCGTCTATTGTTCCGCTGCCTTTGATTGTAAGTCCCACCAGCTTTGTGAATTGAAGCCATTGGAAAAGACCTGAACCCCAAGCCTTTGAGTTCGTTGGAGCTATGATTGTGCCATCAAGCTGCCAAATCAAGTCTCAATCCAAATAAAGCCTTTCATAATCTCAGCTTATTGCATTCTACTATACATGTATTTAATTATTTAATCCACCAAACTCCCTCATTCAAATATGAATTCGGCACATCAGTCCTATGTGATTTAAAAAATCAGTCAACCCATCTGTGTTATAATTTTTCATGCGTAAAACCCGTCTATGAACAAATTTAATTGTCAATGAAAAATGATTAGATTTTTTTGTATAATTTAGAAATTTTGATAAAATTACATGCATATTCAATCATATTATTAAAAAAAGTGATTTCAAAACTATAAAATTTGTTCTTAGATGGAGTTTTGTGCATGAATAATTAAAACATAGGGATTTGACGTATTTTTTAATTCAAAGAGGATCCTCTGAATTTATATTTCAGAGATTTAGTACATTAAACCCAATTATTGGTGGGTACATCAAACAAAATGTATGGAACATATACCTGGAAAACAATGTTGTGTTGGCAGTAAGGCCCGGAGAATGAAATGGGCCCCACTAGGAACACATGTTCTGAAGGCACCATAACCGTCGATGCTTCCACCTTACAAGCTGCACCCCATGTAGCTTGGAATGCCTACAATTTGATTTACAATTTGATTTACAATGTTAATATTTACAATATTTTTTTTTTACAATTTGATAACAGCCCTTCAATATATCAATTACTCCGTAGTATATTTAATTTTTACGTGCACGAGTAGCTCAACTGATAAAGCGGCGGGGAAGTTGGATAAATGACAACGGATTGAAACCCGCAGCGGCAGCGATCGTGTGGAGGTCACTACTCCTATATGCTAGACGGGTATAAGGTCCACTAACGTTAAAATTGCTTGAGTCACCGTGATTTACAACCTCCCATATGCTCTGTCGGGTCAGGGTGTGGGGCCCTTGGGGTTGGGGATTCAACCTTTTAGACAAATTAATATACTACCTCCGTCCCTTAAAACTTTGCCAAAGTTGACTGACACGGGAAATAATAAAGTAAAAATTGTGTGGTTGAGGTTTGTGCAGAGGAGAGAGAAATAACAAAAACCATAAAATAATTGATTAAAAGGGAAAGTGTCAAAAAATTTTGGGACGTTCCAAAAAGGAAAGATGACAAAGTTTTAAGGGACGGAAGGAGTAATTAATTTTTGGCTAAGTAGTTATAAAAGTTGTTAGATGATGATGAATATTTAGACATATACCAAAACAATTTAGGGTCGGGGTCGGGCTCGGCTCAGGCTCGGGTCGAGCTCGGGTCGGGCTTTTTCTAATTCTTCTACCTATTAGTGTGGGCGGGTTCAGCCCCACCCGTAACTAAACAGGCCACCTACATATTCATACATCCCATTATAAGAGTGACCGAACTGTCTCGCCTAGGATTACCTTAAATGTTTTTTAGAATATAATTATCAAAACAATTTAGAGCACTTGTATCGATTACGTTGCTACAACTTTAAAATTGTTAATGAGGTGATTAATGTTAATATGTCTCTCACTCATAAGCACAAAACGCTTACACAGAAATATTCATAAAAACAATAACTAAAGTTTAAATTGCGAGCATAAAGTATTATTTTTAAGCGTAAAAATAGATGTTATATTCGGTTGGGCTAGTAGTTTAAAATACTACGTAATAAACTAAACTTCGAGTAAAGGGATCATAAATATTTATAAACATAGTGGGCCACATGTTACATATACATATATTACATACACATATATAGGGCGAGCGCGATTGCGTTAAAAAGCTACCTTGGTCATTTGAATTGACAAAGTTACACTACAAGAGCCTTCATGTGCATCGTTGTATTGACTAGCGATTACATTTTTTTCAATACTTTTGAAATCTCGCATTGAACTATTCACAAAGACACCCGAACTGCACCGAAATGCACCACATATGCAATTTTACACCTTTCCATTGAAAGCACACTTTCCCAAAAAGGTGCATGTGTGATGTGTTTAATTTTGGTGTAGACTATGGTAATCCGAAATTTTAAGAAAAATTATAAAGGTACACACTCTTTGCGTACACATTTTTTACACATGTCTGTGTAAGGTTTTTTTATGTCTGTACAGACATAACGTGTTTTAAAAACACGTTATGTCTGTACAGACATAAAAAAACCTTACACAGACATGTGTAAAAAGTTTGTACACAAAAAGTGTGTACCACAAGTCCAATTCAAATTTTAAAGGCATTTACAACGCTAGCGGTGCAACATGAGAGTGCACAAGGAAGGTCTTGTACTGCAAGACTGCTGAATCTAATACTGTAGTTGAGATTCATTCTCATTCTCACCTTAACACTTCTCTTGATTTAATTCAAAAATTATGTGCGCACACACAAACACACACTAAATGCATCGGGCTTGGTTTGCAAAACCGTCAATGGCTCCCATAATTCGATAGAGAACATCTTGGCTGGGAAACGAATGAAGTAGCTCATCTTGACATTTCCACAACAAAACTGAGCTACCAACACTGATTACCAGCCTGTTGGATTTGGAAGCTAAAAATACCCTTCTTTAAGACTTTAATGGGTTGAACCCTTCTTCTTCTGGGTTTTTATATATTTCTCTTTGGGATTCAGTACAAGTCCCTCCCACCTTTTGGTGGGTTCCCTTTTCCTTTAAAAAAGTACTCTCTATTCCTTAAAATTTTGTCAAATTTGACTGGCACAGGAAAGAATAAAAAGTGAAAGATGTGTGATTGAGATGTATGCAAATGAGAGAGAAATAATATAATAAAAAAATCAATTAATTAAAACAGAAAGATGCAAAGTTTTTGAAACATAAAAAAAGAAAGATGACGAAGTTTTAATGAACAACGAAGTATCAGACTAGGTTTATTGGCCCAAAAGGGCTTATAGCTTATCTCCATATATTTTTACTGACTTGTCCGGCTCGATGGGTAAATATATATGGAGTACGTTTAGATTTTATAATGGCAATTGCATGTACATTATAGGGTTTACATAAAAAACTAGCATGAGGCGTTCTACATGTACATAGAGAATTGCATTTTTAGATGAATTATGTGTGTGTACATAAATAAAATGGGGTTTACATTATTACATAAAAAAGTTTCAAAAATGATGTTTGTACGACCTTTATAGCCACTAATATTTGCGGAAATTTTTTTGGTCTGTTCATTCACAGATAAAAAGAACCCTTCACACATTTGGTCCAAAGGGTGGAATCTCCCACCTCCGGAGCCCCCCATACTCCGACCCGACAGGTTTTTTGGGAGGATGTTAATTACGGTGACTCAGTCGGCCCAATGATAGTCGACATTTTTTCCGTGCGCACCAAAGGCTCAGCCTTATTTCAGGTTCTGTGACCTCCACACGGCCGCTGCGGGTTTTGAACCTTGGTCACTTGGTCCAAATTTCCCAACACTGAACCAACTGAGTTACCCGTGCGGGTAAGAACCCTTCACACAAGCGAGTATAAGGAAGGTTTAGGGAATGAGTACAACAAGTTTGGGTAAAGGTGTACAACAAGACTTGGTTCACGGATATCTTTGCAGGACATTCACTGTCCTCCAACGGACGCTAATTATTATAGACCAAGGACATGGTACTAGCTAGCTCCAAGCTAAGGGTCCCACCGCCTGTAGGTGTCAAAGACTTGGTGGCCGCATGAGTAAAACCGGTCTGGAATGGGTGGGACTCAAGTGGTCCACTAACGAGTAACCACGTTGTATTACTTGTATTATGTGGTTATGGTTTAAAAGAGAAGTCGTTAAAGTTTTAACCGAAATTTGGTGAACATAAACTATATTTGATTTCATGAAGAACATATTAAAACATTTCATTCAAAAAAATCTATCGGGATGGCAATTCCCTTCAAGCAAGCTAGCCATGAAGGCTACTCTGGTGCCTGCACAACCAAATATATGTGCTTTTGTTTGGACACCACTTCATCTCTGCTCCATTGTCTATTCAATTGAAAAAGATTCCTAAATTATAGGTTTAACTTAACATTGTTTCTAGAAGAGAAGCTTTTTGACTTAACGTAGTCTCAAATTAGGATTTGTTTTATCCAATTTTAAAATTTCTACATATTATTTTATTCTTTTAATAGAATTATATAAATTATACTTTGAGATAGATTTATCAAAACATACTTGGTGCTATTTATTAGAATTTTATATGTATTACTCCTATTTTTTCACCCCGAGGTCAGGGGATCCCTCGTCAGTCGCAAATTGTTTGCTGCAAAAAGTCAATTTTCTTGTAGTCGGAGAAGGCATGGAATAAACTGAGATCAAACTTACTCCATTTAGTATTAAACCTGAGATCACCCGTAAAGGATCGGAGAGTGAGTCGGCGATAACTAAGATGAAACTAAATTCTCTTTTAAATTCTTTATCATTAATTTAGTGTCCTCGTTTTTATTGCTTTCCATTAATTGGCTACTCCCTTTGTCCTAGCTAGCTCAAAGCAAGCAAGCAAGCATTTTATTATAATAATAAGGCTCTCTCTCTCTTTCCTCGATTTGATTTCTTGGTGTTGTATTTTGTGACCCGTGACTCCGTGAGACATCCTTTAAGCAAATTGGAATCTTTATACGAAGTACGTACAAACACCGTGTTTGGCCGCACATTGTTTTTTGGGATCATTAGTCTTCGATCTTGATTGATCTTTATTTAATATTGTACATATTCTTTTTAATTTCCAAAAATTTTGAAATCATTATATTTGGTTTTTCCCATGAAAGATAACTGAAAGACTTGTTATATAATACGTACTCCCTTCGTCCCAAAAAGAACTTCATTTTCCCTTTTTGGCAAAAGAATTTGTTGTTCACAGCAATTCTTACACATTCTTACACATTTCTCTTTTCTCTGCACAACTCTCCACCACACAATTCTCACTTTCTTAATCCGTGTGTCATTTATACTATGGAAGAACATTTAGGGACGGAGGAGTACTACATATGTTTTTTATGTATAAATTTTATCGTCAACATATTATTTAATTTCTTCCTAAAAACGGAATTAGCTTAGGGTTTCTATGTTGCTAGGCTTATACCGCGCGAGCTCCTCTGATCTAACCTTTAATACAACAACGTAACATCATACGAGTATTAGAAATTAAAGATGGAACCGAATTATATATGGTGGTTGCCTTTGTTCTTTTAATTTTCAAGACAACATAAGATTGTGGGAATAATCAATGTTACTTAATTAGTAACGTAGTACACATCCGACTTGGAGACATGAAGATGTGACACCGTTATTAAGAATAGTGAGTTTATGTTCTTGTATATTAAGACATGAATAGATCAAGAATGATTTAGAATCATAAAAATTTTACCAAAATTAGTACTCCGTATAATATATATTCCATTTGTCCCGCAAAATAGTTCCCGATTTCCTTTTTGGGTTGTTTTATTAGTTCTCTTTTTGAAAAATTTTGTGTGGCTCATATTCATTTACTCTTTTCTTACTCAACCACAATCATACACTCACTTTATTCTCACTTTCTTAAACTTTGATCCAAGTTAATGCATGAACTATTTTATGGGAGGGTGGGAGCAGGGGCGTATCTAGCGTGGGAGTAGGGGGCAGCTGCCCCCAATCAACCCCCACGTTACCCCATTATATATATATCAAATTTTATTTGTGTGTATATATATTATTGTCTTATATACAGTATAATAACTGTTAAAGTTCAAAAATGACAAAGCTGGTGTACTAGCTGACGGGATAGAGTGCTACATGGTTTGCTCTTTGGTCAGGGGTTCTAATCTTCCCGGTTTCTAACCTTGTTGATTTATTTTTTTGCCTTATTACAACTGTTTAAAATTTGTCTAAATTTAAGATTTCATTTAAAAAAAATTAATGTAGCTACTAAATGATACCAAGTATGTAATTTTAATAACATCTTTTCACATTTAATATTAAAACTTGTTTAATTGTAACTTAAAGCACTTATAGTTACATATTTTATCCAATTCTTTTATATACTAGTATTTAGTTTTGTACTTAATAAAAAAATTACTTTAAAATAATTTATTATTTTGTAATTTCAATCACATCTTTTCTCACATAGCATTAAAACATACTTGTTTATTTATAACTTAAATTAGTTATAAACTTATAAATAAATATTTCATTTGTTTCTTATAAAAAATTATTTTATTTTTAATAAAATGTGGATTTTTTAATTGATATTTCTTTCCTAAAAATTGTGTGATAATACTAGTGTAAATTTGCATCCATTGATCTAATTTTCTGGATACGCCACTAGGAGAGTCTGTACGTATTACAAAATAAAAACAAAACACAGAGTTAATTAGATGTACGTATACGAAGTATACCTTAGTATCATCTGTCTCTCCGTCACCCTTTGCTCCAAAATCCAACACATTGAAAACCGAGCTGTCTGCATCGTCGCCAAACGGCGGAGATGGCGGAGAAGGCGAAGGCGGCGGAGGTGGGTAGTGTTTGGACTTGGCTTTTCCGGCGGCATTGCCGTGTTGGTGTTTGCCGCCGCCAATATATTTGTTCTCCTTGATGTTGTAGAGAGATGGTGAGGTGGCACCTCTTGTTGCCCTCGAATGATGTCTTCTCCCATGGCAGGTTTCTACACTGGTGGATGACCATACAAGAAATGCCACCATTATCATCATAGATGTAGTCATGAGGCTTCTGAAGCTAATTAAGCCTCTCATGATCAATGATATATAATGTGGCCGGGTAGCTAGCTAGCTATGGTAAGGGTACTATATATCCTGTCATGCCGGCCACTTAAATAAATGCACACAACATATAGAAGATCACATGCGGTTTATATAGGCCGCAGGAATGCATTTATTCACTACTCAATAGTGTTTGCATCTGTGATACAAAAAGAAACGACTTGTTCACGGAGTATATATATATATATATATATATATATATATATATATATATATATATATATTTCTTCATTCTTGATTGCTTTGTAGTCCAGAGTTTTTTTCGAATTAATGTTAATTAATTAATTAAATACGAAAATAATGTTGGGAAAAAGTATTTACCGATCTACTGTTGAGTTTAATCATGGTCAAGCAAAGTCGCCCAACGGTTGGGTGACTTTCCCTTCCATATGAACGCAGACCAGCAGCTACTGCCAGCCACGCACGATCGTGCCTGCAAGGGGCACGATCGTGCCTAATTCCGAAAACAGAATTTCAGCATTTTTTGCTCCAGTTCAACCCAAACTCATCTGTTTGCTATAAATAAGGTCTCCCTTCTGAAGTGTTACGACCCAGATACAACACATTATAAAACATACAACATACCTGTTCACAAACACATACCACTAGTAGAAAACTGGCTTACAGTGACACTTTGTGACTTAATACCACTAGTAACGTAAAAGTGTCACTATTTTCTATCAACATCACTTAGTGACACTCTACATTTTTACGGGTATAATTTAACGCGCTTCACTATTTGGGCCGCGGGCCTGCATACGGAGTAACAAGACTTCAAGGTTTCTCTCTCTCCCTCTCAGACTTCTCGTACTTAGTTTACATCTGCTCGCTATTCTCCTTCTTTCTATGAGCCGTAGCTCCTCAATCGATGAAGAGACCCATCACAGTATGAAGACGATGTCGCTGCTGCTCCCCACGACTTCAACGAAGACGCCATCGCCGCTACAAGTTTTTTAGCCCTAAATCTGTCGCTCCGGACAGTGTTCCGAAAATATAAGGAATCACCGATCTGCCTCAGTGACAAGAGAATGAGAAGCGCACCAGAGGGTTTTCCTCAGCGACAATAGGAATTGCCGATCTGCAGGTAACACTCTTGATGGAGGCCAAGGAGAGGTCACACTGTTTGGTAAGCCCAATCTCATTGGAGCTACAAAACCCTATCTCACAATTTCATTTACCGATTCTGTGTGGCATTTGATTTCATTTTAGGTCTTTGATACCCCCTAATGAATTCTTGGTTATGAATATGAAAACAGGGGTGAGGATACCCACTATTTTATCTTCTTTTCTTTGGTTCTACTAGTGAGTTTTATTAATTGTTAATGATGTAATCATATTTGATTATTTATACTTGTGAATTCTGAGTATTCCTTGTAAGACATCAAGCTAGTATGAAGAGAAACATAGAGGGTCAGTTCTCTTATAGGAGAGAAAAGAAATCAATACTTGAGTTATTGATGGTTTTGGACACTGAAACTGACATTATTCATTCACTAATCAGACTCAATCTAGTTTTCAAATTAGCTACGACTACTCCATCATTAACTCCTTGACATTAAGAAGTAATGGCAAAATCTGGGTTCAACCCTGGTAATAAAAGGTATTAGTAAGCTCTCTATTCCATTGAAATGCATATATTTACAAAGAATATGAGGATGTTGATTGGTTAAGTTGATACTCCATATAATTTTGTCATTTAGATGTAAAAACGGTGGTCAGATTAGAAAAGTACACAACATAACAACTAAAATTATCAAGAAAACATGAGCAAAAAACTATTTTCATTAGAAAAGAATAGATTGAGTCATTAAAACTATGTGTTCTCTCTTTATCATATTTGTATTGAGTTTATAAATAAGAAAACAAGATAATTGAATAGAGAGTTTGGCAAGAGTAGAAGATATTGCTTTTTCATCTTGTCATGTATTAATGGCTAACGGGTGCCAATTATAAGTACATTGTTTTATGTTATTTTATTAGGTTATTTGTGTCTCTTTGTACTCTCTTTGTTGTCCTCGAGTAGGAAAAAGCAGTGTTGGTTTCAGCAGATATGATCCTGGGTTAGATATCGTGTTTGAGATTTTCTTTAATATTATGAGAAGAGGCTTTGCTGTCTTCTTCATAGAAGAAGAAAAAGATGTTGTTTTGTCTTACCCAGCTGTCAAGAAATGGATATCACATGTCTATATATGCCATAGACCATATTCAGTAATTATAAGTTTATAACTTGATTTTTGTGTTTCTTATAGATATCATGCCCTTGAACTCTTGTTATAATCTTGCTCATATATACCTACGTTACCTAGGTTGAAATTACTTATTATCATTCTAACTTCCTATTAAAAACCTTGCTAATGATCCCCTTCTTATTGTAGTTTGACAAATATATAACCTGTTTCAGATGGAGAAATATTGATCTGTATGGATATACTGGTACTATGATACAAGAGCCACCAAAGAGCTTTAAATTGTACTATGATACTGTAGTTTGTTACTTTTACATAAGCACTTTTAGCTACATATTTGAGGGCCCGTTTGATAAGAGTTATTTGGCTGAAGTGTGGCTGCATGTGCTGAATTTTCTGAATTAAAAATGTCTAGTAATCTCCATTTAGCTGATGATTTTTTTGCTTGTGAATTATTAGGTAATTGCTTTTAATTACACCATCAGTAAGTACTTGTTGGAGGTCAGTGCCACGCAAAGAAGCATTGAAGTAAAAAAAATCAGTCCGACCTGTTTTTCTTTCAGATTATTACGATTGCTAATTAATTTACCTTCCAAGTACTTGCTGAACTTTACTTACCAACCCCATACTACTACAGCTTTGTTCGGCATGCCTAGCGGAAAAGTTTTCTCAGATACTAAAAAACTAAAATTTAGATTCTAAAAGCTACCAGTTATGCTTAGTTTGGATGATGCGAGTGAGACTTGAAGGTAGGGAAGAAGAGAAATGAGTAGATGTTTAGTTTGGATGCTAAAAACTTACATTTAGTTTCATTTTCCATTAAACTATGGACTGGATGAAGTAGTTTCCCTTCTACTCCGGGCTGTATTAAACTATGGACTAGATGAAGTGGTTTCAGTAGCAGTCAGCAAGTGTAAATCAATTTCATATAGTTGCTTGGCTATTAATTTCACCCACCTTATAACTCTATATACATTTCTAACAACAAATAATTTGGTAGTTTCAGCAGCCACAACACCATACCTCAGCAACACTAAAACATGTTAATTGGTCTTAAAACTTAACCAAATGGTACATTCAATTCCTTATGTAGTTGGTAACAGAATTTATCCCAAACATGAATATAGCACCCACTCCCTGAGAGAACCTAAAATAAGTCATTCCAAGTGAGGCATGAAATATATAACACAAGTGCTAGGTTCTTAGAGTTGACTAGGTTTAATGTTTTACTTCCTGATATTTTTTTCATTCTAACTTACTTCTTTTAGGTTTGCAGAATTCCACATATGCAAGATACAACACCCAGCACATTCTTCGCAGTTGATAGATAATGTGCTCTGTGCATCTCCAAGTGAAAGAACCAATGCTCTAACAATATGACGTGCACTCGTCGTTAGGTGCACTCAAAATAATTAATCAATACAACACTAATACGTAGTATAGTGTAGTAAGGTTCGTATCCACAGGGAAAGGAATACTTTTCTTTAATATAAATAGTAACAAAAGGGGGTTTAGATTTGTTTGCTTTAATAACACTAAGATAAACGACCTATATGAGTTTAATTCAATGAGATGGGGACTTGGTTTTGCTTTTATCCACTTAATGAAATGTTCGTCGATCCCGGTTATATCTTAACTATCTTCCTCTCGAATACTCAATCGAGGAGTATATCCAGTTCATCGAGGGTAGTTATTAATAACGAGATGCGTTCATTAATAAAACTTACTATCGAGTCAATATAGAACAAGCGCCGTATATTAACTTGATAGTAGCAATAAACTTAAGATGAAAACGATTGAGATTGATAACCTCAACACAAGCGGTTTATTGGTTTAATCAATATAATTAATTCCCCTTGGCATATTAACCATGAGATGTATGCATTAATATCCCAAGTTTACTACCGTTGAAAGAACCGGATTAATAACAAGCGTATTAACCGATTGATTCTAGTAATAATTAATACGAGAAACAATACTAGTTGATACTTTAAGTAATGTTTAAGATATTAACATGAAATATGAATAGGAATTAATCAATACTCAAGGAAGAATATTAAAATATATGAATCCTACTATGATTAATATCAAGATGTTAACTAATTGTCATCTTAGCAACACTCCCCAATATAATCATAGAGGAAGAAATAGCTATTACTATAACCAATGTCAAGATGTTAACTAATTGTCATCTTAGTAACACTCCCCAACTTTGATATAGAGATAGTATTTTGAAAGAAAGAATTAATATTCAAAGAAGAAGATTAAAGAAAATAACTCACAACTTACAAATTCATTAAGCTTCAAAATAGCAAAACCAAGATGGAAGAGTTTAGCTCCTCATTTGGAGACTAAACATGATGAAAAATATAAAGAAAGAGCTATTCTATACTGAGCTTAGATGTACAAGGGATTGGATATCTTTTTGTGAAGGAAAGGAGGTGTATTTATAGGTTTTTGGGATGAGATTCGGGTACTCGATCGGGTATATATATGGTACCCGATCGAGTATGTGTGTAACATCCGATTCGAGGCATACTCGACCGGTTTCAGGCTATTTTCTAAGTGTATACCCGATCGAGTATATATGAATACTCGGTCGAGTATGCTTAGAAAGTGATATTCGGGCTATACTCGACCGATCTTCGTTTGCAATTTAAAGGCATACCCGATCGAGTATATATGAATACCCGGTCGAGTATGCTTAGAAAGTGGTATTCGGGCTATACTCGACCGATCTTCGTTTGCAATTTAAAGGCATACCCGATCGGGTATGTCGGTCTACCCGATCGGGTATAGACATAGAATCGTGGCCAAAATCTTCCCTGCATGTTCCTTTGTCTTCGGATCTGATCCGATTTGAAGTTCCAACCTAATACCCGATCGAGTATAGCTAATACTGGACCGAGTATAGACCAAAATTCAGGATCTTCTTTTGTCTTTGAACTTTTGTACCTTCTCTTCACTTTTTG